ATTGCCAAAAATATTGGGACACCACTCCAAATCATTGGATTCAGGTGTTCCAATCGCCTCCATGGCCACATGTGTATAAAACCAAGCACCTAGGCATGTAGACTACTTTTACAAACATTTGTGAAAGAATGGGTCGCTCTCAGGAGCTCAGTGAATTCAAGTGCGGTACCGTGATATGTTGGCACCTGTGCAGTAAGTCCATCCGTGATATTTCCTTGCTACGTAATATTCCACTGTCAACTGTTAGTGGTATTATAACAAAGTGGAAGCAACTGGGAACAACAGCAACTCAGCCACGAAGTGGTAGGCCGCATGAAATGACAGAGCGGGGTGCCCATTGTGCTGAAGTCACCAACTGTCTGCAGAGTCAGTAGCTAAAGACCTCCACACTACGTGTGGCCTTCAGATTAGCACAACAGTGCATAGAATGCTTCATGGAATGGGCTTCCATGGCCGAGCAGCTGCATCCAAACCTTACATCACCAAGTGCACTGCAAAGTGTTGGATGCAGTGGTGTAAAGCATTCCATCACTGGACTCAAGAGCAGTGGAGACATGTTCTCTCGAGTGATGCGTCACGCTTCTCTGTCTGGCAATCTGATGGACGTGTCTGGGTTTGGTGGTTGCCTGGAGAACCGTACTTACCTGACTGAATTGTACCAATTGTAAAGTTTGATGGATGGGGAGATTATGGTGTGGGGCAGTTTTTCAGGGGTTGGGCTTGGCCCCTTAGTTCCAGTGAAGGGAATTCTTAAGATGTCAGCATACCAAGACATTTTGGACAATTTCATGCTCCCAACTTTGTGGGAACAGTTTGGGGATGGACCCTCCCTGTTCCAACATAACTTGATACCAGTGCACAGATCAAGATCCATAAAGACATGGATGAGTGAGTTTGGGGTGGAGGAACTTGACTGGCCTGCACAGAGTCCTGACCAACACAATAGAACACCTTTGGGATGAATTAGATCGGAGACTGTGAGCCAGGACTTCTCCTCTGACATCAGTGCCTGACCTCGCATCCTAATACTTTTGGCAGTATAGTGTAGTTCTTGTTTTTGAACTATCGCACCTAATTCCCTCAACCCTATCCAAGTTCTCCAAAAATAAAAACAGCAAAAACACCAGTAGACTGGTCATTGAAGAAACATGTGAATAAGCCTATGTGCCTGGCTGCAGGACAAAGCTTTTGGGGAAGACTTGGACAGTATTCCAGCGGCTCCTACGGGAGTAGCACTACATATAATTTTGGTGCCCATTAAACCCTAAATTTAATCTGCTTTTGTTTGCTTTTCCCGGTTCATTCCTCCCTCATCCTCAATATGCTAATGAAATGTTTAAAGTCTGTTCCATTTTTATTACAAACCTTATTGTAAATACATAAGCAGTACTTCAACCTATTCAGTATGATACACAAATTGTAACAAAATATAGCACTCATAATCTCAGTATCAAAAGGGATGTGAAATCAAAACAGAGTGCTTTGAAAGTCTGAAATAATGCCTTCAAACAGGCTTACAATCCTGTTTTGAGCATTCACCTAGGTGAGGCCACCACCTTTATAATAATCAAAACCCTTCAGAGTTGTTGGATACTTTTATTACAGAAGGTCAAAAGGCGATAGTATTTAATCCTGATAGTTCCAAACTCAGATCAGCATCTGCAACATTTCATAAACGAGCAAACACTGAAAATTCCATAGTGCAATAACATTATTTTAAATACGGCATACTCATTCCAATTCAGAATATGCACAAAACATGTACAGTTGTGCTCAAACGTTTGCATACCCTGGCAGAAATTGTGAAATGTTGGCATTGATATTGAAAATATGACTGATCATGCAAAAAAATGCTCTTTTATTGAAGGATGCTGATCATATGAAGCCATTTATTATCAAATAGTTGTTTTGGCTCCTTTGTAAATCATAATAACAAAAATCACCCTAATGGCCATGATCAAAAGTTTACATACCCTGGAATGTTTTGGCCTTGGTACAGACACACAAGGTGACACACAAACGGGTTAAAATGCCAATTAGAGGTTGCTTTTTAAATTGCAATTAGTGTCAGTGTATAAATAGTCAATGAGTTTGTTAGCTCTTACGTGGACGTACTGACTGAGCTAGATACTGAGCCATGGGGATCAGAAAAAAACTAACAAAAGTCCTGCGTAACAAGGTAATGGAACTTTATAAAAATGGAGAAGGACATAAAAAGATGTCCAAAGCCTTGAATATAATGTAATTCAATGTAAGTTGAAAAACAACAGACTAAAGCCTAGTACACATGGGTCAAATGTCGGGTGGCATTCACCAGTTCAGTAGCATTCAGCCTGTGTGTATGGCAGCCGGTCCGACAGAAGGGGCACGAGCGAAAAACAGTCTGCCAATCGGCGCTCTCAGCCAATGGCTAGTAGTGTTACCAGGCTTTACTGTCAGGATCAACAGGTGAAAATAAAGGGGAAAAAAAAGTAAGCGACTGTGGCCACCACATCTGAGGACTGGCAAGTTTTGGGTTTAATACTACTTTAAAGCCCAGTTCTCAGTCTTCTGGGCTGAGTGATGCTGGGACATTGTCACTGGAAAAGAAAGTGAGGAGAATCTCTGCAGTGGAGATTCCCTTTCCACATCTTAGAGCAATATACCTAGCATCAACCATTCACACTTATCAATTATAGTCAATTTACTCATTTCAGCCAAAGTCAAAGCCTTCTGCCATCCACATGCAACTTGGTGATTCCAACACAAAAAAGTGGGCTGCAGACATTACTTAAATTACTCAGTTATTTTTCAAAAATCTGTAATGTTGTGGTCCTGCTGAGCAGTTTGCTCCTTCTGTTTAATTCAAATTGATCCTGTAAAATAGGTTTGAATAAATTTACCCTATAATTATAAAAGGAAGGTAGCCACAAATACAGGCACAAGTTTTTTACTCCAATCACTACTGTCCATCAAACACAACAGTGCTTGTCACAATACTCTCCAAACACCTATTCATAGCTTGCTGTTATACCCTCTCCAATCCACTTTTGAAAATACTGGCCATTCTCTTCACCACTTCTTCATCATTACTGGCACACCCAGAAGATTTTTTTACCTTCTGCCTTTACAACCACTTTAATAAAACACTATCTGATTTTAGAAGAAATGGTGAGCCGTGCCAGCTCTACCTCCCCTGTAGCTACAGGTTTGGCCAAAGTAGAACTAGGCTGGATGATGGAAAGCATATATGTGTATATGTCCCTGTGTTGCAATTCTGAATTGAATGTGGATGCATTTATGTGCCTGTACTGAGGCTACACACTAAACTGCAGAGATATAATAGTTCTGCTGCACCTCCGAGTTGAAAATGGAAAAAGAAAAGTTCCGGTTGTCTACTAGTTTCAAGAAGAAGGCATGTTAAGAAGGCCCTCTCCTTTAGAATGTCTTACTAGGTTATTCTGTGAAGATCCTGTTTTTAATAAGCAACGAAAGTCCTAAGTCTAATTAATTTGCTTGCAAATTATATTGGGATGATTTTATCAAACTGCTCTTTCTTATTTGCTTTGATGATTTAGTCAGTTGTTTGTCATGTGAAATTTATATGAAACACATGGCAGAGACACAGACCACTGAAATTCGGAATGAAAAGTTTCCTAGAAATACTATGCACTGAAAATGCTTACAACGACAAGGAACCTGAAAATATTTATTAGATCTTGTTATATATTGGTCTTTTTATGTCTACTGTACCCACAACATAGTCCCATTTTTAGATTTGAAGAATTATCAGCCTGGAGTGGCAGTCTGGACAGCTCAGCAGTTTGTGATGAAAATTGTATAATAAAAGTGATGGGGTGGGGGTGGGGGGATGCTGTGATATAAGAAATGTTACCCTTTAATGTAAAATAGCCAAAGGGATCAGTACATTAGCCAGGAAGCTAGAAGTTTCTGAAATCAAGATCACAAATGGCAGCTTCCTTTCATGCAAACTGTCCTTTTAAACATTAAATGCCATTATTTGCTACTCATTATGATGTGTCCCTATCTGTTTGAAAGTTCAAATGATGCCATATGTGCTGTGATTGAGGGGAACCTGCTCTTTTTCAATGATCAGACGTCTGCTGAGAAATCCTCACTGCACATCCTTTCACTGGGGGGTTCAGCATCTGCTATTTCTCTTCCCCCAGATCTTATGCAGCTGAGAACAGAGGGAATGCTATCACTTATAAAAAGGGGAAAAAAAGATATTTATAATGTTGTTTTTTTTGTTTTTTTTTATACCTTTTACACAATTGTTTTGCCTTTCGTTTCTATTTTAAACTGAGTGTTTACAATCAGTGAATCTATTAAAGTGTATGTAAAGGCATTTTTTTTTTTTTTTTTTTACGTTTTGGATAGAGATGGAAAATGTTCTTTCCGTTTGTTTCTCTGCTGGATAGATTCATTTTTTTTATTCACTGTGGTGACCATTATTAGTGAGAGTAAATCCGAACATTTTGTGTTCTTTCTTCAGAGCAGTTCTAAAGGTAGGTGAGGAAAAACCCTCCTATAGAGGACATCTGTTCATGTCACAACCCTCTACGATAGTAGTTGCATTCTCTGTGGAGAGATTTCCTGTTCTCATCTCCAGAACAGAAAATCAAAAAAAATCTGTACAGCTGGATACAAGCAGAAAGTACTGCTTTACTAGGGATTTTAAGCCTTCTATTTAAAATGGGGGAAAAAACAAAAAAAAATGGCTTTACATATGCTAGAACTGTATTTATGTTGTGAATATAAGATCAAATCAGAGCCTATTCACAACTAAAAGGTGAAACAGATCTGGCCAAACTGCTCCAGCCAAATAACATAAGTCGCATTTCAAATTTTACCCCATTTAGAAAAAAATTACTGCTGCAGTTTTCCTATTTAATGTTTGAGTTTGTGTTTCACATACTATTTGACAGATACGACATGAACGACAGTTGTCCAGTTTCAGAAGTAATTTTTTTATAAAATAATATTTCTGTATCTTGCAGGACTGTTGGTCGGATTTCTCCTTACTATCGCAAACTTCAGCTTTTTCTCAGCTCTTCTTACTTTTTTTTTTACTTCCTCTAAACTTACCAAATGGAGAGGAGAAATGAAGAAGCGATATGATTCTGAATATAAGGAAGGTAAAGGCTGAACGCTGATTGCACTAAATACATAAATCAAAAGTTGTTAATGGTAAGCAAATGTCACAAGGCGGGGGGGCGAATGAGAATCCATTTCCTTCTATAGTGCACTTTAATGTAACCCTACTGCACCGCAACACATTGCTACCACATCACGCATTGCAATATCTGTTATGGTACACAAGCTCCTAATTTTAAATCATTTTTGCCTGACTGGGCCATTTCTAAAAAGCCTGAAATAAATGAACTATTATTCTGACCTGTAGTTCCCTATGCTTGGGTTTTATTGGATTGCTGAAATTCATATGACACTTACTTTGGGTACCCAGAACATGTACTGATAAAGCACGGAAACTAACCTCTTCTAACAGCCAAGCAACTAGCATTTTCAGATGGAGGACCTCAATGTAAGCATGTTTATTTTTCTCAGTATATGTTGCTCACAAAAGTTTGTGTATCTAAAGAGCAGCGATAAGGGATATGCCATACATTTTATATTAAACGAGTAAACTTGTGATGAAGTAGAGAGATACACACAATCAAAAGTAACGGTGAAAAATAGAGCACAGACTTTTTTTTTTTTATTTCTGTCTGCACTGAGGGCTGTATGGCTTTTCAGGGAACTCTGGTATGTTTGTGCTAAATTAATTTATACCTCACCATGTTTTTTCCACAAATGCACGAAGGAAAAGCCTGGGTAAGTGTACTTCTGTGGGAAACACTAAAGCAGTACACTGATGTCTGTGCCAGATGACTTGCAGCATAAGCTGTCAGTACACATCTCTCTGTTTTAGGCTCTGTAACAGTAACAAATTCTTAAACAAAAGGTAATAGTTGCATGGGTTCACCTAAACCCAAAACCAAAAATGTAATATTTTGCAGTTTACCGGTCTTTAGATGAGGTAATTGCATTCGTTTTCTTTTTTAGGCTCTCTTCCCCTTTGTTTTTACCTGATGATATGCCCAGTAACACGCCTCCTTTTTTTTCTTTTTGATATTACTGTTGTACATAAATAAATAAAAGCTGTCAGTAGTGAATGGTTTGTCGTAACCTTGTAATGGCTAGATCTGCAGAACAGCCTGTTCTGTTGAAAAATAACACATTTTACCTGGTAATCTGGCCAGTAAGATTAAGTGTCTTTGACTGTTCTGACATTACAGTAATTCAGATGGATTCTGAAATTTCACAAATCATCACTAGAATTGAATTATCATTTTCCTGAGCTGTGCACAGGGTGAGACCCAGATGCTCCTGAGTTTTCCTTTCAGATTAGAAACTTAAAACTGTCCAGCCCAGGAGTTGTCCAACTCTGCTTTTGCAGGAGAGTCCTAAACGTGATAATAACCTTCTTCGAGGCAATTCCATATACCCAGTTTCACTCCAGACCTCTGCCACGCAACATTCTGCCACTGTTGGATGGGTTGCTCCAGTCTTTGGACAGACTGATTCATTTGTCACCGAAAACCAGGTTGTATGTAGCTTGGTGGCTCAGAAATTTGGCTTTGGTCTTGGGGGAAGTCCTTCCTTCCTATCCTTTTGAGGATCCTCACAATGCATGCTAGCCTTTTGGGTTGAGGAGTAGTCCTGTGTATCCTGGGGATGCAGGGAACTTGATCGTCGTCAGAATCTCGCTTTATGAACATCAACCTGGAACTGCAGGTGATTTGGCTGTCTGCGCAGTGCTGGGCCATCATACTGGAAGGTCACCCAATTTTAAATTAGTTGGAAAATGTCACAGCAGTAATAAACATAAATCTCATCGCAGGCTATCCCCTCTTCAGTCTATCATGAATGCTGCTGCCTGCATCCCTCCACTGGCTTGCCATTGCCCAATGGATAAAATTCAAAACATTAACAATAACATATAAAGCCATGTATAACTCTGCCCCAAATTACATCATCGATCTTGTCTCTAAATATCACCCAAACCGTACTCTACGCTCCTCGCAAGACCTCCTACTCTCTAGCTCCCTTGTCTCCTCCTCCCATGTTTAGGCGATCTCTGAAAACCTATCTCTTCAGGGAAGCCTATCCTGCCCTCAGTTAATACTGGAATCTTCTACTTTTCCAACCAGTCCATCCCCCACAGTTACTACCTTTTTTGTACCAGTAGCCCCTCCCTCCTAGATTGTAAGCTCCAAGGAGCAGGGGTCCTCCTATCCCTCTTGTATTGAACTGTATTGTTGCTGTATTGCCTCCTGTTATATTGTAAAGAGCTGAGCAAACTGTTGGCGCTATATAAATCCTGTGTAATAATAATAAATCAAATCCGGTCCTGGGCAGATGTTTTCTTTCCAGCCTTATAAACTGTTTATATTTCTGGCATAGACAGTTGGCAGGCAGATTTCCTCAGCCCACAGCACCTCGTTCAAGAGGAGCGGTCCCTTCATCCATAGGTATTCCAGGACTTGTGCTGGGGAGGGGGGTGAATCTTCTGAACTTTAGGTTCAGCTAAGAACATTTGGATCCATTACAGACATTCTACTGTACTCTCACTCACAAGGTGGTGTTTCTTATAGCCATCACTGCTGCAATGTGAGTGCCTGAATTTCCATTGGTACAAGGCTTTATTGAGGCCTAGGAATTCCTTTTTATATAAGATAATATCTGCCTTTTACCTCAACCAAGGCATTGGTCTTCTGTCCCTCTGTCTGGCTCTAATTTACCAAGAGTAAATTTCCCTCCGATATCTGAATGTGGTTCAGGGTGTGAGACCTTGAAAGGGTGCAGGGACTTTTTGATCCACCATCTCTTAGTGGCTCAGGCAGTCCATCATCCAAGCCTATGTTCTCAAGGACTGGGTTCCAGCTTTTCAGGTCAATGCTCACTCCACTAGATCTGAAAGTGTTTGTTGGTTTTTCAGCATCAGGCAACTGTTTTTCAGATTTGCAAGGCATTGTGTTCAATGTGTTCACACATTATTTAGGTTCTTCCAGGTGGACTTTTCTGTCTCATCTAATGCTAGGTTGGATGTAAGGTCCCTTTAGGCGAGACTCTCCTCCATTCATAGAAGTTGATGCTATAGCTTCTATGAATGGAAGGGATGGACATTTCAATCATTCACCCATCCTCCATTCATAGATCCTGTTTTTTTTTTTATAGTAGCTACAGTACCAGCATCTTTATCCCCCTCTGCACTGGAAGTTTATGGTGGCAGGAGTGGAGGGGGAATTGGAGGAGGAAGATTTCTGCTAGAGGAGGTGACAGCAGCAGAAGGTGTATATGGCGTCGATCTTAAAGCTGTATTAAACCCAAAACCAAAAGTGTGTTGTAGTGCAGCTTAACAATCATTAGCTGTGGTGGCTGCATCAGTGTTTTTTTTTTTTTTTTTTTTTTTTTTTCTCTTTGGCTTTTTTGCCTTTTTTTCACCTGGTGATCCGGCCACTAACACACGTCCTGTATTGGTGAGGCATCATTCTGGATGAATGAGAGCACAGGGGGCACAGCAGCATTGCCAATCTGGGGTGAGGTAAGTGTTAAATATATTAGCGGATTTAAATACATTAACATATGCGAGCCAAACTCCATCTCACACTTTATGAACAGTTACCTCAAACAGTTTTACTCCTTTTGGGATAAAAGTTTCACACAAATAAAAGCTGGTCACTTTAACCTCCCCTGCCAGTGTTAAATGGTTTGTCTCATCCATGTAAACTAATACATTCTGCTGGAGGACTTGAGGTTTTGAATAACGGACTTGTTGACTGGATCACTAGATTAAAATAGATGAAAGCAAGCCGTAAAAAAGAAAACTAATTTAGCCATCATATCTAAGAATTAGTATGCTGCAATATAATAAATGTTTACTTTTGGGTTTAATACCGCTTCAAATAATGTCTCTTGTTCTGATTTTGTGTGGTGGTTTTTTGTTTGTTTTTTTTCAGTATACTTAGGCTTTAAATACATTTTACTGTAACTACGATTCTTAAGTTAATTTTTTTTTTTTTTGTAAATTTTCTGTTTTAGGAGGGCAACGAAATTGGGTGCAGGTATTCTGTAATGGTGGTGTCCCAGCAGAGTTAGCTCTGCTTTACATGGTGGAAAATGGTCCTGGTGAGATTCCAATTGACTTTTCCAAGGAGTACACAGCTTCATGGATGTGTCTGTCACTTCTGGGAGCTCTTGCCTGCTCAGCTGGAGACACATGGGCTTCTGAGATAGCTCCTGTTCTTAGCAAAAGCCCTCCTAGATTGATAACATCTTGGGAAAAGGTTCCAGTAGGTAAGAAAAGAATGTGGCGAATGTGGCATACAATATACTTTTGGTATCTGGAATTTACACACACACAATTAGAGGCAAACCAGGACTTTTAGTTTTACAGGTATAGAAGGGGGTGCTAGCGAGGAGGTACTACACGCTGTAGTAAGTGGCAAGGGTGTCCGATTACCAATAGGCGGCGCACATGTTGTGGGCCAGTCCAGAGACCGTTAATCAAGATGGCAGACAACAGTGTTAGTGCATGGAACAGCATGCTATGATGAAGTTTCTTGTGAAGGAAGGCATAAAACCTGCGGATATCTACAGAAGACTGCAAGCACAGTACGGTGATGAGACACTCAGCCGCAGTAAGTCATTTAAATGGTGTAAACGTTTCCAAGAAGGACATTTCTGATGATCCTGGCTGTGGTAGTTCCCAGCCCACAGCAGTCATTCCTATGAACATTCAGTGTGTGGAAAGTCTGATCCTGGATAATCGACACATAGCCTGTCGTGAAATGCACTAGAGACTAATCTTTCTGTGGTCAGCATTTTAGCACTGGTGATGAAATGAAGCAGTTTGTCCTAAGATAGTAAGGGAGTACTAACCAAACTTTCTATGGTGGAGCTATCTAATGCTGAGATAAGTGTATAAGAAATGTGTTTCTTTTATTGTATAAACTCAAAAGTCCCGGTTTGACTTGAACAGCACCCTGTGTGTGTATGTATATACTGTATATTTTGTGTGTGTGTATGCATATTACAATATTTATTATAATTTTAATTCTTTGTTTTGATACTGTTTCTCATTAA